AAAAAAAAAATACAGGAGGACTTCAGAGTTGAGTTTTGGGTATTTTGGGGGGTTTGCTGCTGTATAGATATGACCTATTGTGCCTCCTGCATGTTGTACCTGTACATGAGATAAGCTTCAAGGCTAAGATTTATTTCAAAAAGAGGACAAAACGAATGAGGCGTTTACTCTGGTAATTTTTAAACATGTAAAAATGTGTCGTATTGAGGAGGGAACAAAGATTACGTATGCAGAAATGAGTTGGATTCACAAAAGAAAATCCTTTTTTTCCTAGGATTACCTCAACTACTTTCTAATTTATATAAAAAGTCAAGATTCTGTTATGAGACAGGAAATCAGAACTTTAACCCGATGTTTCTTTTGCACACTAGCTGAAAAATTACAACATTCTGATCTCGTAACTTACCTTTGTAATTTTATAGTAATGCATTTTTTTTCTTTTGTGAATGCAATCTTCATTCATGTATGTATTCTGATTTTAGTTTAATATTCTGCATAATTTTATTTGGAGGATAGTTGTTTTGTTTTTTAAGAAAACCAAGCATTCAGACAAAAACAACCTAGATTGTTGAATTAAAATCAAGAGTGGAATATTAAGCATATTTGACAGTCATTCTCAGATATCGGTAATATGCAAAAAGTAGTTTGAAGGATGTCTGTTAGAAATATATTAAAAGCTAATATTCACACAGTTTTAATTCCCTGCTATGTTTACATTTTTTAATGTTTTTAGCTTGTTTGGAAAGAGGAGTTTAAATCACAAGTTTTGTCTAGGTTGCTGTATCTCAGCTATAATAACTACACTACTGCATTTTTTTTCCCTCGTAGCAAAAGAAAAAGAGGGTATCTACAGAAATGTAAAAAGAAACTAAATATGCTGACTTATTTTTGTAACTATACTTCACATGGTTCCACTATTCTTGGGTATTTATTTTTCCACATTTTCTCTTTTGGTGAGAAGTTTCTTACTATAAGATAAAATAAATTCTTCTACACTGTGAATTTGAGTTGTTATTTTTTTGCGCTGTTTTTGAGAAGTAAATGACTTTATGGCCTTTTCTGGGGAGAAGTTACTAAAAATATATATAACCAACTGCACAATAACAGAGCTCAGGATTCAATTTTATGTAACGTTGTTCTGCATTAGTCAATGAAATACAAAAAACTATACTTTTGTCAACATGCTTTTCAAATATAAAATACATAGAAAAAGAAAAAAAAAACCTATTAGCCTGCTACTAACCAACATTTTATTTTCATGTAGCGGACTTCAAATGTGCTTTGTCACATTTTCTAGTTTGTGTAGGTAATAAGTAAAGTGGCCAATGGTTTTAAACAGTTAAATATTAATTACACATTTATTAGCACTGAATTACAAGAGCTAATGTAATGTTGAAAAAAAAACGTGAATGGTAGTTTCTGCCATTGCATGATTTACCATTATGAAGCTAGACATTTCTATGCTTATAAGTGACGAAAGAAAGAAAAAAGTAGTCTTTACTTCAAGGAAATATAAACAAGTTCACCAAACTGGGGACTTCCAGCTTCTCCCCCTGAAAGAAGCTCAGTGATATCTATGAGGACGTGATTCACAAAGCATTAACAAACTCCTATTTGTATCAACTAACCTAGCATGACTACACACAAGCAGAAGTACAAATCAAAGACAAAAACATCAGAAAGTTATTATAGTACTAAGTTCATTTTTAATCAGCTCTCAAGTTGCAAAGTCAATCTATAACAAACGCTTCGGCTAGATAAAATGCAAACAACTGACAAAGATACTCATCAATACATACACGTTCAGTTCCGGCTTATTACACTCAAAACCTTTTTGCTTTTTTTTTTTTGTTCCTTTTTACATTTTATAACTGTTACAAACAAAACTAGCATCGGTGTCAAAGGCAACACAAGTAAAATCATGACAAAAGAAAATGAATCACAAAAAAAAAATTTCTCAAGGTTTTGGTCAAATGTTCAGGCAGGTTTGGTTATTTCACCATAAAATCTTAATTTTGGTCTGATAGTCAACACCACGGCAGGGCATTCCTGTCCAGAAGATTCAATGACTGGACTGACTTTGGGTTTTGTTTTGTTTGTTGTTGTGAGGAACAAGGTTTTCCTGAAATGGAAGCAGCATTGAGTATTGCATAAGAATAACACAACTATTTTCCTAAGTCAAAGAGTTATCACATTATATTTTTTGCTTTTTGTGATTACTTCTGACTCAGAACAGGACCTACTTTGCGCCACAGTCACATAGGGGTTGCATTTAAAACTAACTTTGTGACAAATATATTGTCTGTTTATGAGAACACAATACAGGAAATTGTGTAATTGTTCTTTTTGTATGCTTTTCTTCACTCATGTAGGCAATTTGCCAAAAAAGACAATGCACACCAGACAAGGTTAAAGATCACTGGGCGCATTATGGTCTTTAGATATAACAATATGTGACACAGCACACGAAACAGCCAAGCAATCAGGAACAGCAAGACTTTCCAATATTTCACGTTTGCTATCTTAACTTGACTGTCTGCAACTATCTCTGAAAACTATGTTGGGGGAAAAAGTCATTTACTGAACAATTTCTGATGAATAAGCAGCAAGTAAACAATGCTTTGCTGAAACTTTGCTGAAAATCCTCGTCCAGCAGACCCCTGCTCATTTTAGCCCCACACACTTTGGGTATGTAACCTAACCCAGGGAGCGAATGAATGTGCCACCTTAATGATGCTGACAGCTTTTCTGTACCTGGCCTGTGGTGACACTGCTCTGCCGAGTGTGGTGAGAACAGTTTCTTGTGAACCTAGTGGAGTTTTTGAATTCAGGTTAATGATTTCCGAAAGAGTATATATCCATCAAAGTCATACAAACTACATGAAAAGATTGATACATGAAATATATTTTCAAACATCAACTTGGAGGAACATTTTAAACTTTAGCTGGATTATGCTGCATCACACACTGTTATAATTTATCAAGCTTTGGAGCACTTCTGAAAGGTTTTTTTTCATGGGGAAAGAGATTTGTTTAAAAAAAACAAAAGGCAGAAAATGTAAACTTAGTAGAATAAGTACAGTCAAGACATAGTCACATTCCCACAGGCAAAATTCAGAGAAGTGTATATAATAGGCCAATCACGTCTGCTTCCGCAAGATAAAATGCATATATATAAGTTTAATTCGTGAGCAATTTATCAAGGAAACTAAAATATTAACATAAATGTGCAATGATAAATGTATTTGCAACTTCCTCCTCCAGACAGAAACACCACACCGTGGTTGGTATCAGATACCTTTATAATGCATTTTAGCTGACTATAAGACACAGTGGCCATCTGTATCAAGTCGCAGCTGACATGTCGGGGGAAAAAAAGAAGAAAAGAAGCAAAACAAAAGCAAACAAACCCAAAAAATCCAAAAACAAAATAATAAAAAAACTGGATAAAACCAACAAATGTTTTGCAGCTCCTGCATCAGAAACACTGAACAGGTCAATCCGTTCTCATACTGTCAAACATGCTGACAGTGCAACAAACACACAGGCATCGATACACACATTGAAAACTGAACGAACGAGTACAAACCGCAGGCATCAGAGAGAATTCACACACAGGAGATCCAAAAATAAAAGCTCTTAGAGGTACTTAGATTGATTTGTTGTTTTGATAAATCTGACATACACAAAAAACCCCAAAACATCTGACTTCTGTTCTCTTTTGCCTCTGATTTATAATCTATAATCAATAATGCATTAAAATATTCAGTAGCTCACAAACTTTACAGAGGATCAGACAGAAGAGTTATTATAACAGGCACAACATGACCGCAAACAGTGTAAACTTTCAGAGTGAATTCAAAAACAACACTTAAGACACGATAGGTTCATGGAGAAAATGACGGTCAAAAACAGCAAGAGATGGACGGAAGATTTAAAAAAAAAGAAAAAAAGAAAAAAGGGAGGGGGGGGACTGAAATGAAGACACGATGAGTAATATTGGAAGAAGGGTTCAGGTAAAAACCGACAATTTGTCCTAGAAGATTGTCACAATTAAAGGCATTGGTTGAGGAAAATTCTTGCCCATTTGGAGACGTGTTCAGATCTCAAATACAAAGACTTTTAGTGTTAATCAGTTTGACCCGAGCTGCGATTGCGATTGTAAAGTTAATCAATATTGAAGCAATTTCCCTAACTTTATTAGTCCTAATAAGTTGCATGTCATCTAGTTAAAGTAGTTAAGCAACTGCATGTCATGTTTTGCCTCATAATTCATTTTCATCAATTTCTTTCAACGAAAACTTGACATGACTATGTTAAAAACTGACACTCACAGAGAACTCACAATTATGCAGCATGGTACGGAGCTTTTTAGCCTCTTTCAGCTTTAGTTTTGGTTTTACGGCACATTTACTACCCGGTTTGGTCTTGCTGCTCTGGCCAGCCCAAACAATTTCACCAAACGGCAGACAGGCAAAAAACAAAGACACAAACATTAAACAGCCACAAATCCAGTTTAATTTATGGAGGAGACTCAACCAGAGCTGAGAGGAAGGTGAACAATGGAGTAAAGAATTACAACTCCTGTCTACATGCGCTAGGTGTGTAATCTGGCTACTGACTGCTAACATGCAAGGACTGCCACTCGATCTTCTCCCCTCTAGTGGCTAAATGATAGACTTCTGCTAAAACATCACTCGCTTTATGAATAAAAGGTGGGCCAGAGTAAACTAATAACCACACATTTACTTAGTTTGTTTTACTGAGGTTTCTCTTCCAACTATACTTTTAGACATAAGTGTCTATAACTATTTTACCCATACAAACAACGTCTGCATAATTTACAACCAAAATAAAAGATAACACCTGTAGAAAACATACACAATGCTGCAAACCAGCCTACAGAAAGACAGAATTTTCTGCCAAGTAACTGGGAGACAGAGTCAACGCTTCATACTATCAGCAAATTATTGTTGAACATCTAAAAATCAAATATACTGTAAGTAGCACTTCAATATGGCAATGAAATCTGTTGTTGGAAAATTAATAAGTTTAGCTGTCAAGGAAACTAAAGTAACAAATATTTATTTGAAAATTTTTTTTATTTAACACACTGTCAGATTCAATTTGTGGTTAAAATTTTAAGCTATATGCACTTGTTTCTTTGCTTGATATAGTGTTATGTCTATGTATTTATTGTAACTTCTGCTGCCCTGTTGGCCAGGTCTCTCATGAAAGAGATTTTAATCTTAATGAGATGTTTACCTAAATGAATAAAGGAAAATGATAATAAATATACTGCTTCCTAATGACCCATTTGTTAAGCCCTGGTCTTTGATTTGCTTTGAATGACAGCCTACAGTAAACCCAGCAGCTACAGCTACAGCTATACTCCCCCACAAGTTGGAACAGCTTTGAACTTTCTCAGCTGGTTCACTGATGCACAAAAATCAACATTTATCAGCAGCCAATCAAATCTTTTTTTCCTCAATATTCTTTGATCACATAAGGTGTTATTTGATTTATGGAAAACTGTGAGCTGCACTTTATACACACACACACACACACACACACACACACACACACACACACACACACACACACACACACACACACACACAACCCCAAAAAGAAATCACTGACTCAAAGATGAAATTGACATTTTAATATAGTGGATTTTGTAATTAGCATCTAAATACATGCCACTGTTGTCGTGTTTCAGGTGCAAAAACATAGGCTTTTCCTGTCCTCAGTGAGTTAAAAGGTTGTGATCAAGAAAAAAAAAAAAAAAAAAAAAAACTAAGCCAAAAAATAAAAAAATAAATGCAAAACTGTAGAGGCTTCAAAAATACTTCACTTTTTACACGCTTTTGTTGGATTACATTTATACATTTCCTGATTAATCTAAACTTAATAACACAGTGACAACATGTTTTTGCCCAATAAAAAAAAAAGTTTTGGAAGAAAACCCAACTACTGAGTGCTTCTACCACAGGCTGAGACATCCAGTCATCCTTCAGCATACCATGAATCAATGAACTAAAGAACAGAGCCATTGCAATGCTGGAAAAGGTTCTTAAGTGGCCAAGCCAAAATTTTAATCCATCAGAACATCTTTTGAGAGGCACAAAGAAGACACTTCCCATCCAATCTGATGACGCTTGAAGATGCAGATTAGCTCAGATGAATTGAATAAACCACCCAAATCCAGGTTGAAGAGATTTAACCAAGACAACTCAAAGCTGAAATGAGTAAAACCAAAGTTTCTGGATTTTTTGTTTTTATGCTTTGAGCACAAAAATACTAAAACAATGAAAAAGTAAATCAATATAAAAGCAGCTACTTAAATTAAATTAAATTAGATGACGTAACACAGGAACGTGGGATGTAAAGAACAGAACAAAAACAGGACAACAGAAATAACTACATATGTCTCACATGTACTGTAAAATAAATAACTGGTCAACATATAATCTAACATTAGTCATGGACAGAATTGGAGCCCAGAGCCATATTGGAGTTTCTCTGATTATCTGATGTAAAGATGTGAAAAAGTCTCATCAAAAATCAGCTGCACTGAAGATCTCATGTCACCTGATAAAACTAATTCTGCATTTTACTCCCATTCTATGCTGTTATTATTATTTTTGTGATTAGAAAGGATTTATTCAGAGAGCTTGGATGTTGATTTGTTGCTGCAGACAACTTTATTTTGAGCTTTTTAAGTAAATGGTAGAAAGTTACAATGACAATGTGCCTCCTGAACATCTAATAGCACAGCTGGACCGCCCCCAACAAGGTCTGCCTGACTACAGTGGAATAATGGTTCAAAGGTCAAGGCAGTAGGTCACTTTGGAACAACACATCTATGCTGATAAACACTATTAAAATGATCAATATGCAATTGATTTTTTCCTTTATTGCACATGTGTCATGCTATACCCATACAAGTCCTATAATAAAGATGGCATTCTTTCCAAAGGCCAACAATAGGCTGAGATTTCAGTTTCTGTAGAAGTAAAGAAAACGGCCCTCTGTCTGCATGTCTGTCAACATTTTGCTACCGAGTTTCAGGTCAGTTGCTCATTTCGGGTCACACTGTCTAAAACGTTAAGTTTATTTTGTATATTCTGGTCAATCTGTATGTCAGAAAGGAGGATTATCCAGGATATGCTCACTATGGCTTACTTTGGCTCCACTACATCTGGTTTCACAATGCCAAAATCACTCATTTTGAGGCTTCAAAACAAGTAGCTATGCCCATCTTTTATAGTGTTGATGGCATCAGCCATCTGAAAAAACTGTCTCTTAATTAATACTTTGGAAATGGAAACAAACATATAAAATCTAGCCAAAAAACTTTTCTAATGATATTAGGAATCCTTAGCAGACTAGGATATATCTAAACTTATCAAATGCTAATATTTGATATGAGAAGGTGGAAAATGCCAGTATTTGTGGTCTTCTACTTCAGTGAAAACCTCAAGTTTGCCATGTAAAACCAGGTGATGTGGCTTAACAAAAAATAATAATAAACCCCCGCCCACCCCACAAAAATTGTGGTCAGAAAGTAAACGTTAAGAATCACCAACAGTAGGAACATGATACATCATCTGCTTGGATGGTGCTCACTACCAAGCTAGCAGACGGCATCATTTTTAAAATATTATTGATGTCACATGCTGTTTGGTTGTTTTTGTGTGGTAAATTTGTGTCTTCATTGTAAAAGAATGAAATATAATATATGGTCACAAACAATTGAGGTCAAATGCTATACCCTTTATTAAGTGTGCAACTTTCTATAATCTATATAGGACAATACTACCTGTAAACAACATGTTTCTGATACCATACTGCATGAGAGGGTACTATCTGATGTTACCTAGAGAAAGAAACAAAAGAAGCCAGCAGTGGGTGATTTTATTTTATGTTATGCTGCACTATAAATTTTTTATTTTATTAACAAAAAGAAAAAGCATTTTGCATTTTTTAGCAAATGTCTGCCATGTCTAAACCTGACAAAAAAATGTAAAAATCAAAAAGTTACTAAATGTGGCTCATATGGGTACAGCATAGGACACTTTGTGAAACGGGGAGAAAAAAACAATTATAAATAACAGAGGAATTAAACCATATCAGTCACACAATTTCTCACTGTGATCCAGGAGCAAACACTTTAGGAGAGGACCAATACTGATTAAAAACAAAGTTAAGTCCCCCTCATTTTGCGGCCATAAATAGATAGATCAACATATAAAGAGTCCAAATTAAACTTTTAAATGCGTCTTTTTGACTGTTTAGGTCTGTTAAATCATTCAAAGCACTTGCCAGCAGTTAAATTGGGAGCGTGCAGAGCCTATTTCCAGGGTGCATGTTTTTAACTAGGCACATTATGCGTCTGACAGTGATGAAACTGTCCCCTCCTGTTTTAATTTCCTTCTAAAGGCAGACCAACAGAGACTGTATTACCGTAAGAGTCCATTAGAGGGGGATAGAGTTCTTTCATTGTCAGAATGACATTAGGGAGGACAAGTAAGCATAAAGGGAGGAAAAGAACCAAAATAGGAGAACATGGCTAAATGTTAGCTTTAAAGAGCACAGGGGTGATGAAACAATGAAGAGACATGCTATCAAAAATGACAAGGATAAAGTAAACAGAGGAAGGAATGTGGTGAGAAGAAGGACAGACGACAGAGCAGCACTGACTGGTTGTTGTCCTGTATCGCCTCTTCATCTAACATGCACATTTCTTAGCATTCGGCTGTGCATCACCAAGCTTTGTGGCCCCGTTCCCATTGGCAGGCTCGGCAGGGGGTTTGTCGACGCACTGCTCCATCCTCTTCATGACCAGGTCCAACAGCGTTAGAACCGCCTTGTCCACATCTGCTCCTGTCGCTGCACTCGTCTCAAAGTACGGGATCCTGCAAAGAACAAATCTGCAACTGTCAGTGCGCCCCAGGGCAGCTGTGGCTACAATGTAGCTTGCTATCGCCAGTGTGTGAAAGTGTGTGTGAATGGGTGAATGACTGAATGTAGTGTGAAGCGCTTTGGGGTCCTATGGACTAGAAAAGCGCTATAGAAATGCAGGCCATTTACCATTTACCAACTTAAACCAATGTTTTTCCAAATGCACCTCACTTGTTCACTTTCCTTTGTATTTGTGTTATTTTCAACCATCATGAATTTAAAAAAAGATTTTTTTTAAACTGGTCGAAAGGCTGAGGAAGATTTTGAAGTATAACCTGTGGACTATGCATTTTGCATTGAGTAAATTAATGAGCTAAAATAATGTGAATACTGAGTATATCCAGCATGTATTCAGTGATGTTCTTGTACTTGTAACCATATGGTAGAAAAGTGCAGGTGTGAAGACCGAAACAACTTTAAAGGCCCATCAATCTGCTAACTGTCTGAAACAGGACCAATCCAGAGAGACAGTGTCGTTCAGAACCATCTGATCAACAGAACTTTACAGGAATAAATTCTACGCTACAACAGAACTGCAGAAAGACTAGTTTGCAATTCTAGATATCTGCTAACTGTGATATGCATTAAAAAACGTGAAGTGTGTGCTTTACATATGATAATGTTTGGCTTATTGTCAGTTTATTATGGGCATCTGCGGGAGAGGTCATGTGTTACTGTATTCCTAAGTATGTTTAACAACTTCAGGTGGTTAACCAAAGCTGGAAAACACTTGAAGGCTTGAAGTGGTTAGTTTAACCATCTATACCAGCACATTTAGGATCTGCAATTTTTGCTATACTTGCATCAACAAAGCTTTTTAGGTTTACTCGTTTATGTCAGAACTTACTTATATTACTTCCCAGAGCAAAACTTTGTGGGTTTTTACCTCATCTAACAGGAAGTCGTCTGTTGTTACAGAAAAACCGTGTACCATCTATTCATAAACATGCAATGTTGATGATCACAATAATCCTAACAATGATATTCTATAAAAGAAAATTATCAATGCTAACAAAATAAAGTATTTATATCAATCATACATGATGTACAAAAGTGAGTGTTGTTTTCGGCCAAAGCCCCACATGTTTCTGAGCCACATTAATGTTATTTTAATGCAATAGAGCAGAACAGAGGTGTAAAACAGGTGGTTATTACAAGATATATATGAGATATGGAGTTATGTAACATCAAAAATCACTATTACGTATTTGCTTTTCTTATTCTCTATCACGTCATATTTACACAATGTGTTCTAAAGCCTGTCAAATATCAATGTGGATCAGAGATCTGAAGCACATCGGAACATTACAGTATGTTAATTTAAGTGTCAGATTTTAATTGTGCAAATTGTTTCTCGCCTGCACGTGGCTGAGAGATGCACACCTTCCTTTTACTTTTATAAATACCTGCAGCCATACCAGTAACGTAGGACAAAGTGTTTACGGTATTAGTAACTTGAGGACATGTGGAGGGGTAAGGATCCACCTGTACAAGGTCAAGCATGGAAACAGTGTCAATTGAAATTTAAGTTAATGCAGTTTTTCTCCTAGATAAATAAACATCAACAGTATTTAGTGTGTGCATATAGACTTAAGTATAAGTGCAAGATATAGTTGTAATTGTAAATACCTTAAGTGTCCATTGATATGAAAACAGCTGCTTAGTTTCTACAAGACGCTAAGGAAACAACTTTTGTTTTTTAATTAAAGCCATCATGTTTTTAGGGTAATACCGAGGCCAGAAGCTCTTTTGTGAAAGTCAGACGAGAAGTTGCCACCGTGTGCTCTCAGATAAACAGTAACAAAAAATAAATAAATAAATAAATAAAATATCACTGTTCAACACCTGAAGTGGTCTTAATATCTACTAATACATACGGTTAATGTACATGACAAATAAACTTGCCCGTATTTTTCGGCCAGCTCCTTGGCCTGTCTCTCCTGAACCTCCCGCTGGTCGGCCAGATCCGCCTTGTTCCCTACCAAAACAATATCTGGGTTCTCACAGTAAGCATTCGCCTGTAGCTGGCCTGAAAATGAATACAGATTAAAAAGTAAATAAATAAAAACTGATGTATCAGAGGAACTTCAAACAAACAGAAATGTTTTGTTATACTGCTATTTCATGCTTTCACAATACATTAGTCATCAGCCTTTTACCGGTACATATTTTAACAGTGAGCTGAACATTGTTGGACTGAAATGCTTTGATAGCAGTTTCTAGTAAACATACTCATCCAGTTTCTGACGTTGAGAAAGCTCTGCTGGCTGGTGAGATCGAACATCAGCAGGAACCCCATAGCATCCCTGAAGAAGGCCGTGGTCAAGCTGCGGAACCTGAAACACAAACAGTTTTAAAGAGTACAGATATGACAATGTGTATTTTTTAAAGGGTTTCTAAAAACGTCTTAATTGTATTATACTGCACAACATCCCGAATGTGAAAGCCACCCAATCACATTAACTGCTAGCCTTATGAACAGACGAGGCTAGAATTGATGTGTCCACAGATGCAGTTCTTTTAACAGCCACAAGAAGGTGCTGCAGTAAAAAAATAGACAATCCTACAATAACTACGTAAACCCAAAACAAGTGTGAAACCTGAATTGATTAATTTTAAAATGTTTGGGCACATCACGTTTTTAATTGAGAGCAAATGCCTGAAAGCAGTCACAGAGCAACACTGTATTGTTCTGTTTTGTTGATTTGTAGCCTTCTTTTAGGCCAGCTGATAAATATCAAATATTCATATTGTGTCAGCTGTGTTCTGGGTCTTTACCAACTCCTTTTAGTGTTTGGCATTGTATCGGTGTATAGCAACATTTCAGATCTTTGGCCACAAATCAAACTATTCATTTTTCATACCAGGCTGTAAACATGCCTTCAGTTTAATGATGAGCTGGGCATTTTAACTTGTCCGTTTGAACTTAGGGCTATTAGAAATGCAGTTTGTTGCACTTCCATGCTTCATTTTCCAGCACAGGATGTCACATTTGCCCAAATTAAACTCTCAGAATAGATATTTTACTAATGTCTGTCAAAAGATTTTAAAAAAATAGACCTTTGCTGCTCTACATCTGGAGATTGCTGGCTGTCACCAGGTGAAACTGGTCACAAAGACAGTGCTGCACTGAAAACCTTGCACACTGCTAGGAGATTGCCTTAGTCACCCGTAGTTTGCACAGAGGACACCAATGCTTCCATTTTCCACTGCAAGCTGTAGTGTTTGTTTGTTTGTTTGTTTTTTAAATCAGAAGCCCCATTTCATACCAAACACACATTTTGAAAAGGTGCAACTTTTACTTTGAAGGGTAAAAACTTACAACCGGTTGGGGAATACACATTTTTCTTCCGTGGTAATGGATGGTTGCCACATGGTCCTGGATTGTTCTCTGGGGGTCTAAACATGACATTCTAACATTTTGCAATATCAGTGTTTAAGCTGAAAATCTGTAGTCGCCAACCATTTCCAAAAATCTGTTATTCCGATGAATAATTCTATGAAACCTTCTTGCACAAAACAGAAACATTGATTTCAATTTGATCAATATCAGCTTATAACTTTATTATAAGTAAAATATATGAGCTGTAATTTCACCTGTGTTCAAGCACTAAATACAGAAAAACAATAGATGTGTGCCATGTCCATTTCTACCCGCACAAGTTAGTAATGGGGCTCCCCCAGCTGAAGTGCATATTCTGAGACATGCTTGTGCTTCTGGGTGTGACAACAGCGAGTGTGTAAACATTACTTATGAGCAATATTTAAGATGCAAACAATCGGAATGAAGCAGCAGATATCAGAGGTGTCTCCACCGCAGCCTGCTTACAGGTGGAATAATGACTTTAACCGCTTGAATAAATGATCATGCGGAATCTGTTGCACTGGGCAGAATAAATGCAATTAAAATTATGTAACTAACACCGACTCATCCTGCGGTGAGTCATCGGGCTTTTATAAACAGATTCAACAGATCGAGGTCGGGACCAATTAAAGACCACACACGCATGACTGACACATGCAGCCATAAATACTGGTCTGTTGTTTCTCCATCTAGATTTCAGAAATAAACTTTACTACCCTACAATTATAAACTTTTTTAAAACGTTTTTCATTGTACCATTTATCTGTTTTGATATCGTCCCTGGTGATTTCATTTTGGCATTATTGCATTTTCTTTTGGTGAGCTTCAACCAATCAGTAATGACTGACCAATCAATTTGAAGTCAATTCCTCGGGTCAATTGTGCAATGACAGCTAAAACTGTAGTTTGTTGCACCTCAAGTCTACACACCAACTGTGGATATCCCACACCCCAGTGGGATATCCACAGTTGTAAAACTGGCCCTAAAGGTCAGCTGTATGACTGCATCAGTTTCATCAATGCTTGTTACTACTGCTTCATGATTAAAGATTGGGTAGGTATGTTTTTTGTGTTACAGAGTAACAGGCAGAGGACTTTAAGACAAAAACTTTAAGCACTGGTGCTTTAACACATATTTAAAGCCTTGATGCCATCCATCAGCCCCACCCGGCATTTATGACCTGTAGAATCACGGAGAGTCTTAAGCCCACAATCCACGATGCCCATCAGTGATGTGTGAACCGACTAACTGTTAGGAAAAAGATTTTGTCCAAATGGGATAAGTGGCCTACCTTTCCTGTCCAGCTGTGTCCCAGAGCTGAAGGTGAACCTTGAAGGTTTTACCCGTGGTCGTCCCATTGGGGTTAGACGCTGTGTAGACCTGAGGAGAAAGAAATCGCACAATTTTAAATGAGATGACCGTTTATGAAAGAAAAGTCATTTATACCTGGTGTATATTACAAGACTTGCAATTAAAAACAAACAAACAAACAAACAAAAACAATGACATTTAAATCAGTCGACCCAAAACTGACCATTACAACTGTCAACCTTCCTCAACCTTGAAAAATAAGTATCTCTATAAGGTGATTGGTGCACCTTTGTTTTGGGCTAGGAAAACAGCCATAGAGTAAGATTGTTCACTTGATAACAGTAAACTTCTTCCTCGTGATACTGTGTAGAGTTAGATTAGTCAAAGTTACTAATCTACAGTGGTGTGAAAAAGTCTTTGCCCCCTTCTTGTTTTTTTACTACTATTTTGCAAAACTGATATTCTCCTTCGGGATGTTTGGTAGACATCAGAATTCATGGTTCCATTTACTGCAGCAAGTCTTCTAGGACCTGAGGCAGCAAAATGCCCCCATCACACTACCACCACCATATTTTACTGTCTTACTGACTTTCCACAGAGTATTTTTCCAAAGGTTTTGGGGATCATCAGGATGTTTTCCGGCAAATCTGGATGTTGTTCTGGGGTCTTTTGTGACCTTTTGGATGAGTTGTCACTGCTGTCTTGGAGTAATTTTGGTCGGCCCCACTGCTGCAAAGGTGTGCTACCATTTCATGTTTTCGCGATTTGTGGATAACGGCTCTCACTGCGGTTTGCTGGAGTCCCACAGCTTTAGAAATGGCTTTAACCTTTTCCAGACTGAGAGATCTCAGTTACTTTGTTGTTCATTTGTTCCTGAATTTCTTTGAAACGCGGCGTGACATCTGTCTTTTGAGGATCTTGAGGATTTTGATGGTCCACTTTGTCAGGCAGGTCAAGTTTAAGGAATTTATTGATTGAGAACAAGTGTGGCAGTAATCAGGCCTGGGTGTGGCTAGAGAAATTAAACTCAGCTTTCCAAAGATGTGATACACCACAGTTAGTTTAGGTTACAAAATACATAATATAAATACAATGAAATAAAAAAACAGTTTAACTTTGGGATCTTTTCATTTGTATTTGAAAAACTATTCACCACCTTACATACCCCGCCTCCATTTATTCACCTCACCCCTGCTTCAGTGAATATTTCATCAGGTATGATGAAAACTCATGTGGACAGTGATCCTGACTGGGTAATGATGAAAACTTGTTTGCAGCAGCTGGCTGGTTATGTTCCTGTCACCACAGGAAGCTTCAGGCATCATTCACACCTCTGATTCTCCCTAATGTGACACACTGTCACATTTTCTGACACCCTTTTTAGACTGAGTTTATACAGATCATGTTTGAAACAGTTATATTTGACTTTATGGTGTTCTTTCATTTTTCAAGGTGATAACTGACCTTCAGCTCAGATGGGGTGACATGAAAAGACATGCACTCTGATCGAGGAAGTCTATTTGGATAACAGACACGTCAAAGTTTCTGTTTACTTTACACTGTGGAAAGTTATCAAGGTACTATTTATTGAACCTACTTCTTATAAAGTCGTGAGCTAAACACCAGAAACATAGTGCTGTACCTTTGTTTAACAGCATAGTGTTGCTTTGCTGTCATAGCGACTAGCTTGCTCCAATAGATGCATTGAAATGAAAGAATGATGACCGCTTTGTTGTGTGTGTGTGTTTCTTTTAATTACATGGCTTAAATCCATCTAGACATAGTCAAGAACATGTAGTGCCAGATTCAGTTGTAGTTCTCATTCAACTTGTCACATGCTGACGCATGAGCAGCACATTTTAGCTCACTAGGTATCCCATTGGCACGATTTTACAACATGCCCTAACCTTAACCATTCAGAGGATGGATAAGAATGGCCAGACTGCTCCAAGTTCACTGGAAGACAACAGTAACTCAAATAATAACTAGTTACAAACAAAGTACACAGAAGAGCATCTCTGAGCACTCAATACAAGTCATATTTGCCTGGTGTGATGAATCTGACACATGCAGCCATAAATACTGCTGTGACGTTTCATTTTTCATATCATCTCACACCAGACATACCCCTGTGTGGTAGCCATACCACACAGGGGTCAACCTTATGTCTTTGGGCTGAAAAATGTGCCATTATACTACCCCAAAGCCAAATTCCTCCTTACATCAACAGTTTCTAGTCTTCATTTGTTTGTTTAATTTAAGGCCTATGAAAGATGCGCTGAACCGTGGCTACTATGGTTACAAGTCAGATTTTTGAGATAATAATCGAGCACTAAAACAGTCGGTAATGCGAGTTTCATAATGACTAGTACCCTGCTAGTTTTGTAATGCATATTAGAGGCCAGAAGAATCAAAAAGATGTGGGTCATAATGAGCCGTTTCCTCTTGGTATGAGCACCGAAGCACAGTTTACCAGAAGTGTTCACTTAATTGTCTGTCTAGGAGTCACGAAACTTTCATTTACAAACTCTGGTTAAATGTCCCATGGGATGAACAAACTGATCCACATTCAGCTTTCAGACCTCATGAAAACTCTGAGGAAGTACAGCTGCGAACTAAAGCTGTGATCACACATTTGTCTGCTTCTGTGTAATAATCAGATAGAACGGTTTGAAAACAAGGTGTGACCTTCACACACACACACACACACACACACACACACACACACACACACACACACACACACACACACACACACACACACACACACACACACAAGGTGATGAAACAATCAATCCTATGAGTCATCCGGAGAGGTGGGATTAAAGCAGCATTGTCTGTATTTCAGACCTGCAAAGGCAGCAGGGCACCAAAGTGACCAAACCAAGCTTCGCCCACTCTCTGATTCAGATAAGAGCATTCACAGTGAGATATTTGCACGTACTCATTTCGATGGTCAAGTATAGAAACTTTTATCAAGTCTCAGGTGAAGTTTAAAGTGGAACTCTACACAGAATTAAGTATGAAACTCTCAAAGATTATAAAAGGATTTTAATACAACAAATTTCTGGAATATAGCATGAGCGATTGGTCCTGCAGCATTAAAAGAGAAACAACAACAACAACACAGGAATTTAAAAAAAAAAATGTCTTCTGCCTCTAGAGCAACAAGAAGCTCTGCAACCTGTCATTCATCATTTACCCAAAACAACATCTCCTTCACTGTCAGTCCAAACATGGCAATAAATTGCTTCTGTCTCATCAGCCATCTTTCAAGCCTAAAACAATTTTTAAAAGACTGTCAACTTGTCAAGACATGTCACCGTCATATTTCTTGGGGTCCATGAGTGTCAGCTCAGGAGAAAAGCATCTTATTTAGAACTGTCACCACGTTCTGTCACTATAACGTTACTGGTTCTGTCAGTGTGTGTGGTGTAAGGATCAACTTGTACGAAGTACTTTAAGCGCAGAAGTAAACTAGCTCTTAACAACCAGAGAGTGTTCCAGTCACTGTTAAGGATCCTTAGACCCAGCCTATTCATTATGTCCTCTGTGGTGGACAAAAAACTGAAAGATACTTTTTTTCTGGGTTCGCATTATTTAGAAGTTTGCTCACGTTTAACTGCAGATCATTGGTTACCCACTGGTTTGAGAAGTCAAACTGTGAATCTGTTTTTAAGCTGTGCATTTTTGCATTCTTGTTGTTTTGAAGACCAGAGCAAGGACTGTATCTGACTGTGAAAAACCCTCACACCACAAACTCAAAGAAGGGCAATCACGAGGTAGGCCAATGCTAAAGCACACCAATTATAACCCCAGGTTTTCAGTCTAAATGATCATTATATTATGTTCAATAAGACCCGAAATCGATTGATCGATTAACACCATAAACTTAACACCATATACAACCAGACTTATTTGTTCAACCAGATGACTCATCTGGTGGTTATCAGAAGGAATGCAGGTTTTAAAGCACACTGGCTACATTTTTCATGTCTGCCTGAATGAACTTCTATTAGAAACCACGACTGCAACTTGGCACATGGTAGAGTAAAAAGAAAAAGAAAAAAAAACGTATATGATAACATAACCATCCCTACCCAATTAGCTCCTGAACCTTTGTCTGCTGACAGCTGATAATCTCTCATAGTGCCCTTTGTTATCTGGCAGCATATGTTTTATAGCTATCAGATGAGTGCATCACCCAAACACCCTGCCCAGCGCATCCTACAAAGTCCCCAAGCCACCTGAGCCTCCAGCACTTGATCCAGCCCTCACATAACTATCAAAAAGGAAGCTTAGTTTTAAAAGTAAAGTGGACATGTCCCCAAACTTGGGCTCAATCTTTGGAAACTAACAAGCACAAGTAAGCCCCCACTCTGAGAGCTAAATGCTTTCCCTTGGAAAGCCTTCATTTATAAATACCACAGCAATTATGTTAGACGCTAACTAGTTAACAACCATCTTTTCACGGGTAATTTATTCCGGGTCATTTATTCCCGGCCGAATCTGACCCAAGTTTGTTTTCCTTGCATAAGTTAAAATAACATGACTGTAGAGTGACTCAGCTCAGCAGCCACTGTGGTAGAAAAGCAGCAGAAAACCTGGGCTTGATCTGACCCGCTGTTTGTGCTTTGATAACTAAAAGCTCTGGACAAATCAAACTGTAACTATGGTAACCAAAGTTGGCTGATAACTTGAGATGAAGATGAATTAAATGCTGTGTAAAACTACACAATCAAAAAGAAACTTCTACAAGCTAGAAGTTTCTTTTGTGACCTTTACACACACACGTGTTCGTAGGAATAATAAAAGGTAAGAACTCACCACTCTCTTTTCCCTGAAGTCGATGCCGACTGTGGTGATGAACTTGGGGTTGAACTTGTTGTCTGTATATCTGTACAGGAACGTGGTCTTCCCCACGCCGGAGTCCCCCAGGGCAAGGAGCTTTATAAGGAAGTCATAATCCCCATCAGTCATAGTGATGACCGCAATAAACCTGCAGAAAACAGAGTCACACAATCACGCACAGACCCACACACCAAATCCCAAGGTTTCAGCTTCCATGGGTATTCAGTTTGTCTGTGATAAAAACCAAGCCAGAAAAAAAGGAAATAAGCGAGAAACAAGGAAGCCAACAAATAAGCTGAGGAACAGAACAAGGAGATGGCAACACAACCACACACACACATGCAAACACCAACTGTCATGTTGAATTATGGTGGTGGGGATCATGGGACTGTCCAGACCAGAATATGGCTTTCTGGGAAAATAGCTATGTTCTCACACAGTTACTAAGTGGGAAAATATTTAAGAAGAAAAAAAAAAAAAAAAGGCAAGCACACACTTTATATATTTTACAGACTATTTTCATTTTATGCAGTTTTAGCTAAAAACAGTCAATGAGTTTGCTGTCAATTAAACGGGAGTTAAGCATGTCAAAACCAGTGGCACCACAATACAAACCCTTGTAAGAAACCTTTTGGCGTCGCATTTACATAATTTAAATAAGGATTTTGAAGATGCTGCTGACAGGCAGGAGGCAGATGACAAAGAAAAAATCATGGACATATAGTAAAGGACGACATGCAGAGAGTTGGTGTGACAGAGGATGCTGCTGCCATAGTGACATGGATGCAGATGGTCGAGTGTGGCAAACCCTGAAGGAACCAGGCAAAAGAAGACAATAAGAACCATCTTTTAACATACAGGCTTAATTTTAAGGAGGGACATAATTAACCTTTTCTAAACCAAACCAGTCACAAAGTATTGTTCACTTACCCAAAATGGTAAGTGAACAAAACTCTACAGTATATTGGACAAGCTTTGACCAGTGTTGGCATCATAAATAAATAAAAACACTACAATTGTTATTTTTAATGAGTTTTTTAAAGAATTTAATGCACTATGCAATACTTATTTATCCCCTGGTGAAAGTAATTAGTCACACCATTCGTTATTTGGCTTTTTTATTACTTCATAACATAAACTTCACATGCATCGTCACATGATTATCAGTAGACAACATAAACCTGAGTGCTTGAAAAGAAGGTGACGAGACTTCTTTTTGGTTCATAAAGAGGTTTTCATCACCCCTCCAAAAGAGGCCTCTCCAGTTCTAAAAACCTGCAGAGGACACTACAGTGTTCAACTCTGTTGCAATTCAGCTCTTTTTATAACTTCACATTTCTTCGAGGCTGTCTGACCAACAACAGCACAGAGAGCCCCCAGACTGACTGTACCTCATATTTGTCTCGTATTTTTTGCAGTGCCTCCATTAACAACAACAGTAAAAGTAGAAAAATGCAGAAACTGGAATGGTTAGAAACAATTGCTGTGACGGTGCAGGCTCTGGCTGCTTGTTTGGGTTTGACAGACCAATTGCTTATTGAACCTTCAGTGTCTATGCAGATGTTTGCAAATAGCCAATGTCATACTGGCAGCAGTGATTAGTTTGTCCTTTAGTTTGCACCCATCACACTTTTGTCTTTTAGTAACATAAAAATGAAAGTAATGTCAAAATCTACACTAATTAAATGCCTGGCCAATTCACCACTACATGGCTTCCTGGAGGATAATACTGTACTTTAGCCACAGCAGTCAAGCTTTTAGATCGGCTGTTGGCACGGTGACTGCTATTGTTACCTCACTTGAATCAAGGCTTCTGAAGCTTTAGCCATAACATGTTAAATGAGTTGCTTTCTGTGGATTTTGATGTTTTGTTTTTTTAAACCAATTGTTGTTGGTTTCAAATTATGTTCCCAGGACATTGATAAGGGCATCACTCAAGGATTGATATCCGACCAACTACTTTGTACAGTGAACATAAATATTTATTTTCCAAGTGGACTGTAATGTTTTGTTTTTTTTGTTTTTATCTGCTCAAAAGCCACTTTGAAGCCCCACCATAAACCAGGAACTTCAATATTTCCAAAGTTCCAGTTTGGTCTGGTCATCCAGCATCATAAACACTTGTGAATTTAGCTTGCATAACAAAAATGTCCTACAAAAAACAAAAAAATAAATAAAAATTTAACAATCCTATACCAAAGGTCTTCATCTATTTCATATTATTACGACTACCTGTGAATACTGAACACTCTATAAATGTGTTTTTCCATGTGAAATTCCTAATTGTGTAAATCATTCAGGTACATAGTGTATTGTAGTCTAGTGTCTGTCTGCCTCATGGCTAAATGTGGCATATTTAGAGAGAAGATCATAAGACTAAGATTTAGTCAGCTGAGAAGAAGCATGGGAAAAATTCTGCTTTATTATAGTGAGGGCAGTGATTTGCCAGGAGGTCAAATCTCCTCACAATAACCTCACTGTACCTCAGAGAGACAGTACAATGAGAATCAAGAGTAACATATTTATAACAGACTAAAGATGGTACACTGCCACTTAACCTGGATAGTGGATTTAATAAGCATCCACTTCCTTCTTTAACCTAATCACAGTTAGTGCTTCCCAAAAAGTTGATTCTGTTCATCTGGATTTAGCGTTTTCAGCGAGTATGGATCGAGGCAGTTAGCCATTTCCAGCCAGTTACAATAAAAAGGTGGGGGTGTAAATCTTTGTAAAGCTGTACAATATTTCTTTACATTTAACATTCATTCAAATGCATTTTATATTCCTTCTCATACAGTGGTGATGAGAGAAGTTCATTGATATGTCAATAGCTGAAAACTCAGCTATTGACACTTCTTAGGTCTGCCCCAGGACCACCTCCTGGTAGGACAAGACCAACGGCAGTGCCCAGGAAGGGGTCCTGGGCAGATCCCTGAACCACCCTAAACCTTCAAATCAATATAGAGGAATAGCAGCTCTCCTCCAACTCCCTCCTCACCTCATCTCCAAGACTCCACACATCCCTCAGAAGCGGCTCATTTTCACTGGCTGTGTCCACAATTTCTAACTGTCAGCCTGTATCCAGAACTTATGACTGAGGATGAGGGTAGGAACTTGACTCAGCTTTCTTTACTAAAACAGATCTGTATCTCACATCACTGGAGAAATCACACCAATCCATCTGTAAATCTCCCACTCCATTTGCTTTTTTATTATGGATGTAAATACGATTTACTTTTTGTTTTTGTATTTTCAGTTAGGTGAAACTAATTCGATGAAATTGCTGTGTTTACCAAAGAACAGAAATATATATACCAACAACAAGAGATACTGGTTTCCTGCTGTTCACATTCTGGCACTGGAGAACATTCCATCTTCATAACAAGCAAAACCATAAACAAAAACAAAACAAAAAAGAAAATCACAAAGAATAGAAATGGCTATAAAGAGAGGAGAAATGGGAGCTTCTGCAAAGAGAAGAGATGACATGTGTTTGTATGAGGACACGTCGTCAGTGTTACTATCAAAAGGTCCATCAGGAAGTAGTGCTTTGCTCCTCCCCCTCTGTTATCGTTCATATCTTACTGATAACAGACTGCTTTCATTCTGACTCTGATGCACAAACACACGCAGCTGCATAAACTAAGAGCTCTTTAGTCTGTGGTTACGGGTATTCTTAAGACCACATTAACATATACTCTATGCTAAATATTTTAAGCTCCTAACATGAAGCACTGCTCCATACCGTTCCTAATGTAACAGCATACTTTTTGCATTTATAATTATCAGAAGACATCCTCCATGTTGTTTAAACGGTGAGAAATGAAACTTTATCAATCTGAAGCTAAAGAGTCTTGCTTCATAACTTTATCTTTACGTGCCTTTAGAGCACTGAGGAGGAACACATCAGAACACTGACTTCCTGTTCTGGAATAAACAGCCAGCATTTCTGACAATCTGATAAATGTATGAAGAAAAGTCACACTGACTGATTTTCTTTTCTAACTTTCTTTCCTGAATAACTCCAGCCAGGCAAACAAGTCAAAATCTGCAGAGCTAAATGTTTCCTTATCATCAGGGAACAAACTTTACCAGCAACCTGTGCCATGTGACTTATATGCTGATTTGGATGTATAAAAACAGCAAACCAAATGTTTTAAATATTTATTTTTCCAAATATTGAGAAATCTTGAGAATATTGAGTTTCTCATTAACTGTAGGAACATCGTGCATTTACTGAGCTTTAAAACATGCCTTTGAACAGGGGATTTTCTTAACCTTTAAAAAGACATTCAAGAAATTAGTTGTAGGTGGTTTCAGATACAGGGTCATATAGTAGGTGGTGCAACCACTGCGTTCTGCACTGCCTCCATCACAGCAACGGTAACTTTTACCAAGTACACTATGTGCTAAACATAACCCGTGGATACCCTTGCATATAAGATTGCATATCACATCAGATTCACTTTGAAAGGCAACACCAATCACATAGACAATACTGAAGAGCATTCCCATAGAGATGGGCTCAGTAATCAAATCTTACATAGTAGTAATGATTAAATGCATTATTTATCCTCTTGGCTCCCCATCACTGTAATTAAGTATGTAATGGATTCACAATGTGGCCTAACAAAGTATCATATCCATCTATTGTCACAATGCTGCTTATACATTCAGGGGAATCTACACTTGTACAGTGAGACATAAATCCCTCTGGCAGACCCGGGGTGTAATTTTCACCATTCAGTGCTGTGCTGCTCTTAACACTCGCTGACTTATTACACTGTACATTTAATGTGAAGGACAGAAAAAGAAGGTGGTGAAGTCCAGACTGTGCATAATACAACAGAATGTATTAAAACAACATTTGGAGGTGAGATTTCAAACCTGCCGACCTTAATAAGGTAGCATCACTGCATAAAAACATGTAAATCTCCCATAAACGACATAATGTAAGACAAAGGCTCTGCTTTGCTCTTTGGCCTACTTGCATAAAATCCTGTGTGTTCTTTTGATCAGGTCTTGAGCCTGTAGCAGTATGTACATATTCAGTTTGGTGGAGTTAGCCTGAGTTTTCTGTGGAACAGCTCCAACATTACCATTTATAATCACTTATTAAGTTAAATGTATACCTCTTTATCCTTACAA